CTTCTAGAGCTGTGATTTTTATCATTCCAAGATGAAGTTAGAAGGCAGATTTATACCTGATCTTGTGATAATGATTGCTGAGGAACTGTGATCAGAGAATACCGAAAAATTCCAGAAATTTTTGACTGGCTAAAATGTGCAGGATCTTGTGCTAGGATGCCGTGGGTGAGGGGTAAAGGGGGTGGGATACCAAGATGAAGATGAGCTGGTCCCTGCTTCCAGGGAGCACCCAGTTTAACTAGAGTCCAAGACTGAGTATGACAAATTTGACAGCTGTCTTCGTCATATCTGCCAATATAAAAACATAGTATTCAAGTACTTAGATATTTCATTAGAAATTATTAGTGGTCGTGTGTGATTACATAACTTCAGGGGTATGCTTTTGGCTTTGAATACCATCAGTTTGAAGGCAATTCTGAAGGTGGTGGATTAATATTTTATTATTGGATAGATAATACTTAGGTTTTAATAATGTACAAATAATAAGACTGTAAGTTTATGTAAGAGCTTTTGGCTACTTCATTATCACTGTGAAAGTTAAATTAAATAGCTTATTTTTTGAAGCTAGATACATTTATAATAATAGGTATCAGCTGGTAGTTTTATAAATTATGCTTTACTTTTTTCAGTAAAATATATACATACATTTATGGTAATAAAAGTATTCCTTTACTTACTGTTTCTTAGTAAATGTTTTTACTATTCTCTGTTCTTTGGCAAATCAACAAAATTTGGGGTTTGTGTACTACAGTCTTCTGTGTTTGCAGTGAATGGACGTCTTCCTTTTCTTCCCTAATAGAAACTTTTGTATAATCAGGTAAAGAAGAAACTAATACTGTGTTTTCTGTGACAGGTACTGCAGTAGGTATGTTACAGATTCTTGTCCCACTTTGTTTGGTCACTAACGCTTCTGACCCACAAACTCCTAGCAACATTGTAACTATCTCCGGGTCTGTCTAAAGACAAAACTCATTTTTATTGTACTTTGAATATCCTAAATTGATTTCTATGTCTGTGGCTTGATTTGGAAGTTAGGCGACTTAGTTTCTTTCACCCGTCTGAGTTCTTCAGTTAATCCTTTATTTCTTGCCTACATAGTTGCTAAGGTCAAGTTTCTTTCCAAGTTTTGCATTTCTTACCATGTTTGTTTGTTGGAGGGAAGGAGGGAGCGGGAGGCAATGTATGTATATTTTACTGCCCAGCAACCTGCAAGTATGAAGATAGAGAAGGGTCCTTAAAAAGAAGCCCAAGCCAGGGGGAGGATATAGCTCAGTGGTAAAGTGTGTGCTTAACATGCACAAGATCCTGGGTTCAATCCCCAGCACCTCCATTAAAAATAAATAAATAAACCTAATTATCTCCCCTGTGCCAAAAATTACTTACCAAGAAAAAAAAAAAAAAGCAGCAGCCCAGGCTTTTTTTTTAGCTCACTGAAAAAATTAAAGTAAAAGTAAATTAAACATGGAACAGGTTTAATACACGAGTTTACAAAAATTTATTCACCGTCATTTGGTCTTTTGTATGATAAGACCTCTCTATAGAATATAATCATCTCAGGAGCAATTCACTTGTCTATTTTGTTCTCTGTCACCCTGTCATCTGTGCCCGGCACAATGTAGGTGCCCAATAACTTATTCATTAATTGAACCAAAGGGTGGATGAATGAATGAATGAATGAATGACACATTTCACTGGCAGTTTCTGGTGTTCTGCTTTATTATATTTGCTTTACTGATCTTTAGGGTTGATACTCTATTAAATAGTGAAGGAAGAACTGGTACTAAAATGTATAGCTTCTAAATGACTCTAATTCTTGATTTTTAAAAATGATGTATTAGAAACTGTTTTCTTCCTGTAGGAAATTATCTCAAAGTTATTTATTTGTTGTGAGGCACGTGGAAGCATTTTATATTTCTGTAATACAATAACAACTATCTATCTTTATTGCTCATAGTTCTTTTTCAGAAAAATCAACTCAGGCATTTAAAAAATACTTCTATGTTTTTTATATATTAATAGAATTTACAGTTAAAGAAGTTTTGCTCAGATATATTTGAAGAGTACCTGAAACAGGTTTTCCTCTTATAGGTTTCTGTAACGTGTCAGGATAGTTTGGGTTATTAATGAGTAGATTTGTATAATTTAGCTCAAGGTGGTTTAAGTGGTTGTAAAGAAATTCTGAAATGTGTTAATTTTTTAAAAATGCTTTTCCTCATAAGAAGCATTATGAGAAAGGGAACAACATAAATACAAGTTGGAATTCTCTATTTTAATAATAATCACAAATTTTTTCATAGTAATTCTTCAAGAACAGCAGTTCTCAAGCTTTTTGGCCTCAGGAACCCTTTGCACTCTTAAAAATTATTGAAGACTTAGCAATAGACCCATTCCATGCTAGCTTGTGTAACATTTTTTTTTAATTCCCCAAACAAATTTTAGTGAAAAGAATGATAACTGTTTTACATTTTTGCAAATCTTTCTGATGTCTGACTTAATAAAAAACAGCTGGATTCTTACATGTACTTCTGTTTCATATATTGCAATATCACATATTATGTATCCTATGAAAAACTCCACTGTACGTGAGAGCCTGAGAGTAAAAAAGGCAAATAACATATAGGTATTATTATAAAAATAGTTTTCACCTTGCAGATGCCTTGAAAGGGCCCTGGGGACCCTCAGGGTTCATGGCCAGCTTTTGAGAACCACTGCTGCAGAAGCTAGGGGGAGGGAGGGTTAGCAGCAGTGGGGTGGGAACTTCGACTTCTTTTATATATTTCTATGTTGTATTTGTATGTTTTATTATGAGTATATATTACTTTTGCCATTTTAAAACACAAAAAAGAAAATGAAAGGGTGTGGGGGGAGATGATTATGTCCCAGAAGAAGGGAATACATTTTTTTGCTTCAACAACAACAGCAATTCTCCTTTTAGTTCCTAATTATATGATCTCTGAATAAATTTAAATTTCAAATTTGGCTGATATGTTTTAAATAGGATCCTATCCAGAATATCAGCATGAAGAAGCAAATAATGCAAGTCCCGGGTCATTTGTTCTCATTTTGTCTTGTGAACATCTGAACGCACACTGCCTGTATCTCACTCGGTAATAAGCCTTTGCTTCCGATACTCCCACAAAAGGTGCTGGCACATATTATGGACACTCAGCCCCATTTATCATTTTTCCCTGCTATGCTAATTCAGGGGAATCTGAGGATGGAAAGAGCAGAGTCCCATTTAATGCTAAAATTGTCCTTGGACACTTTGGCTGTCAGATTAGGAATTCTTGCTAATCCCTGCCCAGCTTTATATTTGGCCCCAAAATATTCTTATTTCTTCCACTTCCTCACAAATTGGAGAAATAGGAGCAATTCATAAATCTTTCACTTCAGTTATTCTGTCTCTAATAAATGACTTACAAAGGCATTCAGATCAAACTTCTTGTTTACAAGGTAATAGAAATAACCAAAAGCTTGAAAACTTAAAAAATTTAGAATAACTTGGCTCAGGTCAAAGTATAATTTTCTCTATGAAAAATAAACGTTAATCTGAGAATTTTCCAATGAGATATTAAAAATAGAAACCTTAATAAGTTAAATAAAATCCAACTTGTCTATTGAAACAATGAAATGTTATAACTAGAGTAAAAATGTTACTGTATCTAAATTTTATCTAAATATTATGTCTAAATATCAACTCCATTGAATTATTTATTTAATGTCTTTCAAATTTTTACCCCCCATATAAAGTGCTTACTTTTTTCCCAAATACACAGGTAATAACTATTTATTGCAGTAAAAAAATAGAAAAAATTAAAAATCACCTATAATCGCACCACCTCTACATAGCTACTGTTAACATTCTGGAATTTGTTTCGATTACTTGTTTGATTATCTGTTTAACATCATCGTATTCTACATTACTTCTTATAGCGTGATTTTTTAGTTGACAGAACATCATAGGTATTTTTTCCATATCAATAAACAGAAATCCATGTTGTCATTTTGAATCACTGCATGGTATTTCCTTATAAGTCTGTGTGATTCTCATCTGTATTGGATTTTTTTTTCACTGTAGTAAAATAATGCTTTAGTAAACATATTGTTCCTTTGTCTTTGCACACCAATCTGTTTATTTCCTCGAAGACTTAGCTATGGGATTGCTGGGTCAATGAGGCATGTACTTTTTTTTCTTAAGACTTTAAAATAAAATTGCAAAATTTCTCTTTAGAGAGACTGTACCCAGTTACACTGTCTTTCCTTTCCCCAGCCTTGATCTATTTTTGAATGTGATGCATTTTTTAAAAATCATTATTATTTTGGTTTTCATTTCTTTGAATACCTCTGTGGTTGGGGTTGAACATCTTTTCAAATGTTCTGCATGAGTTGCCTGTTCATTTACTTTGCCTATTATTTTGTTGGAATGTCATTTCACTGGTCTATGAATGCTCTTCATAGTCTTTGTAAAAGACATCTACTACTTATTACATTTGATGAATTGTTTTCTTCTCTGTGCATTTAAGAATTATCATGTTATTATACTATTATAATATGTGATTATCATACCGATTATAAGAAACTCTAGACACTAAATGGCATTAGGCTCTGGGCTTTTTGATGTAGACATTTCTCTATATCTCCCACCATTGGAGAAATGAGCAGATATTTCTATGTTAGGCTAATTGTTTAAGTAGTATGTGTACCTCCATTCTCATAAAGTTATAAAAATGTTGAGACGTATTCTGTGTTTTTTTTGAAATTTGTGAGCTCTCTGCCTCTCTCTACTAGAAGTCCAGCAGCAAATTCATAAGGGGAAAAAATGAAATCCTGTGCTGGCATTTTACTTCCAGTTGCTGCTGCCTTTGGTCCCCTGAGGAACTTGTCATTTTTAACATAGCTCTCTGTTTTTACTGTGATCTGTGTGATCTCACCCCCATATCCATTCGCATGAGAAATGGGTTGTCTAATCCTCGGCTGTGTTTATTTCCATTTATTTTCAGAGTATCCACATACTGGAAAGGACTTCTTCCTCTAGCACCGAACCCTCTGTAAGTCGGCAGCTGCTAGAACCGGAGCCAGGCCCCCTCTCCAAGGTCAGTGCCAGAATGTGGTGCTTTCTCAGATGGCATGATGCCCACTCTGGGGCCAGCTGAACTGTAACTCTTACACCTGACTCTCCGAAGGTAGCGATGACCCCATTGTCGGGCTGCTCTTCCACTTCTTCCTGCTCCAGTGCATCAGGTGTCTTTGCATAAGGCTTGCTTACGTTTCTTTCTATAAGGAGGAAAGAGATGAAAGTGTATTTTGCTGGAATTTGCAGTGTTATGTACAGAAGTCCAGAATTCTCTTTGTTTTAAGGGAAAAGGGCAAGAGGAACAGTTGACATTCCTGTTGGAGAGCTGAGCTAATATTCTATATAAAGCTAAGAGAAAAAAATCAGTGGGTCCAGCAATAACAACAGCAGGCCCCTTTACTGCCCATGTACTGTGTACCAGGCACTGTACTAAGTGCCTAAATACATGATCCCGTTTAATATAATCCTCTGAGCAGCTCCATACAGTGTGGGTATTTCTTATACTTTATAAATATGGAAACCAAGAGTTAGTAACTTGTCCACAGTCAAAAAAGCTGCTAAGTAGCAGAGCAGGGATTAAGCTTTACCCCACCTGCAGGGTAAACTAGTCTGTCCTCAGAGGACCTTATGTACGTTCAGAGTTCCAGTCCCCTTCTTCCATCTGGCCTTCCTAGCAGTGAGCTGAGGGGAACACAGCCGATTACTGATGAAGATGTTTTCTGTTTCATGGAAGCCAGTGTTCCCTCCTCTTCAGCCTTCCCTTCCTAGGACTAAAGGAACGTCTAAATTCATTTATCTGAAATCCAAGAATCACAAAGAAAAGTCAAGGACACGCCATCGTACTCATCCCCATCCCTTGCTCGATTCCCTGAGGTTTTCAGTGGGTTGGCTTCCTTACTGAGAAACTCAGAAAATAGAAAGCAGGGGGATTTTGAATCCAAATATAAAAAACTTTACTTCCCCCAAAGCTTAACTTCTAAGTATAGGTAACTGATTCATCCACTTTGCTTTTCCTGTATTAAACAGAATGTTTTGTTGAAAGAACACTCTACTACACTAGTATTATAGAATATAGACACGTGTACCTCTTTATACTTTGAACCCATTATAAGCATTAAAGTTACAGTATCAGACAGGGGTAGACTGCAAAACTAAAAAAGAGGGAGTTACTGAACTACAAAAATAACTTAGAAGTGGGAAACGATCTTGTATCTATTTGAATGGCAAACAGAGAGTGTCTACTTGGTAAATATAACTAGTAATCTCTTTGGAACCTCAGTTCTCTCATACACAGCTAAAGGACAGAGAGGATAAATTAATACAGGGGCGATGCAGAAGGCAGCTAACATTGCTCCCTCACTTTGAGCCAGGCACTGGATTATTACAGGTATTTTCTCAGTCAGCCCTCAACTCCATGAAGTGAGTACTGATATTATTCTCATGTTACTGATAAGGAAACAGAGTTGGAGTATAAGTAAGTTGTCCGCAGTCAGATAGCTGGGAAGTGTGTGACATTCAGAGCAGTGGGAGACAAAGACCGTGATGGTGAGAGAGACATAGAAGAAGGAAGACTCAGAGAATGATGCACAGAAGGAGGAGAGGTGCTGGCGGTAAAATGAGTAGGGAGCGACACACAAACACACAGGACTTGCTCTGGCCCCTCCTGGCCCAGCGGCTGCATCTCCAGCCTCTTTGGTATCTCACTTTATACTCCAGCTCCATCCATCTGCAGGCAGTTCCCTCCACTGGCCATGCTATCTCTTTCCTCTGCTGTTGGGCTCCTTCCACCAGGCCTGCGCGGAATACTGTCCTGCTCCCCTCCCATTCCTTCACTTAGCGAAAACTCCAACTTCTCTTAAGTTAGGCCCACAGGGACCCCTTTTCAAATGCTGCTCATTGTCTCCCTCCCTAATCCACCCTCAGCCCCAGACCATCTTGCATAGCCTGTAGTTGGTACTGACACAGTCATTACTTTATTTCACATTCTTCCTTTTTGTCAGATTCTCTCGGACAACCTGAGACTGGGCTTAGGGTGCTTCTGATCTGCTGAGGGAGGACCTCAGGAGAAAGAGCGTGCGCGAAGAGGCTAGGGCAGGTGTCGTTGCTAAGCAAGACGGGGTTTCAGCTGGAGCCTACCCTCAGCTTGATCCTGTGGTGGGCTCTGGAGCATGGATTATATCAGAGTTGGTCTCCCCCGGAGGCAGGGAGCCCTCAGCCATTTGTACCCTTGTGTCCTTCAATTGTTGAGAGCTGTGGAGAAGGTATTACTAACGCATAATTTCCTGGGTGTGGAGGCCCTGGGTTGGCCAAACAGCAGCTCCCCGTAGAAGGAGGGAGCTATTAGCCTTAGCAGTTCGCCGTGCTCACAGCAGCTGGGACATGGGTCCACTGGCTGGATTCAGGGATCCACGTAGGGCGCCAGCAGCATCCATTTCCCATCACTTCTCCATGCAGTTGCCTGTTTGGATCTTGCTGTACAACTAAGACTCTTGTTGTGTTTTTGCATTAATAGATAACACATCTCTTGGGACCCTATGAAATCAGAGGGTCCCATTCAATCCAGATACCACAGCATCTCACCATCTCTCAGCCCCTTTGAGAGGAGATGGGCTTCCTGGGCACTGGCTGGTGGCAGAAGAACATTGTTCGAAGTACATACATACAGTCCTGTCTTAGGATTTTTTCAAATACTTTGTTTGGTGTTTTCACCTCCTAAAACATATCTCGTATCCCCCACGCACGCACACACGCAGGCCTGCACGCACACGGAGTAAGAAAGGAAGGGTTTCTGTTTTTCCCAAAGGAGCAGACTAGGGCTGTTATTACGTTACTTCCTGATTTTAGGTATTGTTATTAGACCAAAAGTACTTTTAAAACTTTTATAACAGCAAAAATGTTTGTGTGTCCGATTCAAGTGCTGATGTGGTCACATGAGGGTTTTTGCCTCTGTTTCTATTACAAGTAATCCTATGGAAGTTGGTGACTTTAAAACAGAAAATTAATATCAGCTGAAATTATGAAAAACAGCCTTCAATTTTCCAAAAGTTATTTTAGCTTTCTCAAGACAGACCTGGTCTACTAAGCATAGAGATGGATTGTACTAAGTCCTGAGATGGGATATTTTATTTCTTACATACTTAATTTGCAACATTATCATCAGCATTTATAATTAGAATAGAGTTGTTTGCTCTGGCTTTATCCTTTGCCTCTTTGTTTGACAGCTTATTTAACTGTAAGAACTAGGATTTTTCCCATTTTCTTTTTTTGCTGGGCTTAATAATACTGAATCAGAGTAAGTGGAATTATTTGTTCAGAGCTGCTGCATTTATGTTTAAAAAATGCATTTTAACTTTTGCCTTTCTGTGTAATATATCTTCCCCCTTCATTCTTATTCCATTCTTATTATTTGGTAGTTAAACTCCCAAAGAAGAAAAAAAAAACTGCTGTGATAGAAATCAGTAGCCATAGCTCCACAGGGACAAGCAGTTATTACATCCTGAGTTTAATTAGAAAAAAAATTCAAGAAGCATTTGTACTTATTATTAAATGTTTCCATTTTCACAAGTAATCCAGAGTTTTCATCTTAAACACACAGACACACACACACACACACACACACACTGGAATAAATCAAAGATGAATACTAGCCTTCAAATAAGATCTAGCCAAAAATAAAAATGCTGTTCTGGGTGGGATGGCCATAGTTCAGTGGTAGAGATGTGCTTAGTGTGCACAAGGTCCTAGTTTCAATCCCCAGAACCTCCTTTAAAAAATTTTTTTTTAAATCCTGTTCTTCTAGAGGTGCTGTCCCGCGGAGGGGCTACTGAAAATAGAAATGTCATTAAATACAGTTGATATTTTTCTAAGAACAGAGAGAGCTCTACTGAATATAGGTATACATGTGTAGAAAGTTATTCTTTTGACTTCTTAATTATACAGATACTTTCTCAAAGGAATCAGTAGAAATCCATTTTTATGGAATGAAAATCTGTCTTTTTTTTTTTTTTTTTTTTTTTTTTTGCTTTGCTGGTGAGAATAAAAAGCCAAAGATACTGGACTTCGTATGAGAACCTACTATTTTTTTTCTATTGTTCTAACATTATTCAAAAGCAATGCTCACCTGTTGAACTGCAATTCAATATTAAAAAATGAAAATGCCAAAGCGCTCTGCTTTGTACTACTGATAATAATGCCTTCATTGTCAAAAAAACATGGTGCAGAGCCTGAAATTGCCTTATCAGAAAATTTTTTTTTAAATCACGGTATCTAATTAACAGTTTTGACCAGATCCATCACAGTTACTGATACTATTATCTTCAAGTAGAAAATCACTTTTGGGGTTTTTCTCTTATGTGAAGGGAAATTGACAGATCCTTTCAAGGATTCTTAATGTTGCCAAATGAACATTGGTAGGTGTGTTTCTATAGAGATGTAGTTCATTCACTAGGCACCCCTCAGAGATGACCAAGAAGATGGAGAAATGACGTTGGTCTCAGATTAGTTTGCAGGGGTGGTGGTGGTGGTAGGGTTGGGCTTGGGTAGAAGCATGATGCTGGCTTTAGAGGGCTCTTCAGAAGCTCAATGATGTTTACATGAAGCACTGTTCAGCCACATCTGGAAACAAAATTGTCTGTCAAAATCCCACTCCATTTACACGTCTTTGGACTTAAATGTAGACTTGACTAGGCCATAGGGCAAGCAGCTTCTGAGATGAAAGGAGAAGACAGGGGAAAGAGGCATGAGTCTCCCTTCCTGTCCCCGTGGCCAACATCAGTAACTAGGTAGGGCCCCTTCGCCTCTGGGTCCTGTCAGAGCCTCACAGTCCTGCAGCAGGTTCTGGGCAGCCCCCACCCAGACATCTGGGCCAGCAGGTCCATCTGCCCCGAGATGGAATGCACCCATTGCCATTCCACTGAAGCCTCTGTGCTGTGGCCTAAAGATGATTTCTGATAGAACGAAATGTTGCAGAAAAAACGTGTTGCAGCTCAGCATTACAGCTCGGTGTTACAGCTCAGCTGCGACAGCAACCTGGATCTGGGTGAGAGACTAAGCAGCAGTTGGAGAGTTGGAGAACTCAGGTTCATTATCCAAGCTGGCCCAGAGGAGTTAACACTCCAAGCTCTGGATCCCATCTGTAGGTTTACACAGGGTTTTATAGGCTAGCAGTTTGCACTTTGCAACATTGTATGCAAATAAGGTATAACAAAAGTTGACTAATTAAGAACAAGC